ATTTAATAATGTTTCTAAAATAGCGAAGGCCTTCAGATTTAATCTCAAGCAGCAGGTTAATTAAAATACCATTCTCAGACAGGTTAATTATAAGACTTAGGTAAATTGTCTGAAATTAATACAACTTACAGCTACAAAATTAGTTCCCAAATCATTTTTTAATTAAATCTTTTATATTCGATTTTATTTATGAGATATGAAAAGCAGAAGGAAGTTAGAAACGACTCGTCTTTGTGATTAGTCGAAATTTCATCTGATAGTGGAAATCTTGCAGAGAGCAGACGCTTCTCACCAATCGACAATCAGATCTGTGTTCCGCTGCAAGAAAGGGAAACACAACCGTCACCGGTGGTGATTTTGCGAAAGGGGATACCCAGGCCCGCGCCGGTAATCGTCCCAGCACCGTCGCTTTCTACGCAAACCACGTTTTCTACGCAACCCTGTGCCAAACTGGACTATCAAGCCCCCTCAAGGAATTTCATTGACTCACTATTTTTCTGATCTAACGAATCTACATGGAATTGATCGAGTTCGAGGGTTGAATCGAAACGAACAAGTGATCGGACTTGCGATTTTGGCAAATAGAATGAAACAGGATTCTCAATCGAGATAAATTGAATCTTTCTAAGAATTCTGCATTATTAATAATTTCACATCAGAAAGGAATTGGAGATTCAAAGAGACTAGCAGATTGGATAATTAGCAGAAGGGTGAGAACGATGGAACTACGAATCAACTCATTGGTTTCTTATCACATTCCATGCTACTATCATCGGAAGAGTATAAAATAGTGCGAGTGGTGTCAGTGTCAAACGGTGCATCTCAATAGTGTTGAGTGTTACCAAGGATAATATTCCAAATCGTATTTGGAAAACGACAGTGAATGATTGAGTGTTAAGCCAGTGTTGAGATTTCTCACGAAAAAGCTTAATGAGCGTAAAATAAATGATTGGTCTGTGTCTGGAAATGATGATCGAGTGACGAGTCAATTTGAAAGGATTGATGTTCCTGCGAAGGAAGTTTCATACCCAGAATCGAATGGATAATAGAAATCCTGAGAAACTATCCAGTAATTTATTATATTGGCGCCTCCACCCACCCACTGTCGCGGATCATTGAAATTTTTTACGCGAGTAAAGGCCTACGGATCGAATCTTCACTCACATAATCTCACTCACAGTTTCTATAATCGTTTGATAACAAGAATTTTGAGGATCGTCGAAGCAGAGGAAAGGGGCAATTTTTCAGACAGGATTCAATCATCTATAAAACTGAAATTCTTCAAATCCTAAAGGAGCCTAAACTATCTTTTGAAGAGGACGCTTTACTCGACTTGATAAATTCACTGATGTCTAAACTTCGTTTGCAGTTAAGTTTATCTAAAATCTGCAAGGACTGACGTCCCCAGAAAAGAATCGATATTACAGCAAATATACTAAAATCCTGAAACTGCAAGTTACCGAATCAAAATTAACGAGAGGAGAACTGAGATAGCTGCTGATTTTAAGAAACTTGCAAGCTCAGATAAGGAAGCATCGGGCCTGTGAGTTCTATTTCCAAGTTTCAAAGGGGACGGAGCGATGTAGCCCGTTGGGAACGGGTCAGAATTGCCGATAAATCGTTGAGAGGGTAGTTTGGAATTTTGTGAAGTCGGCCCTGGATGTTTTGACGCTGCGTGGCGCAAGGGTGCCGAAAGGTGGGGGGCGCGTGGTCTTGCTGCCTGCCGTGCGCCAGTGGCGGCGGGGGTGGGGGTGGTGAAGCTGTCTCGGGGGCCACCCCCGAGGCCAAGAAGGGCTCCACCGGCCACAAGTGCCAGCAACAGCAACAGCAGAAGCACCAGTCCGGCCAACAGCGTCTACCGCAACCTTCCAAACTGCAGAGTCAACAGCAGCAGCAGCAGCAGCAGCTGAAGAAGGAGCAGGAGGAAGGGAAGAGGGATCAATCGGAGAAACAGGAAGATAGGAAGGTATCAGTGGCTAAGACTGAGTTGGCGCCGTTGAGTAACCTGGACGAGGAACTGGAAGACCTTGAGGACGAGAAGGCGGCCGAGAGGGCCGAGGAAGAGGACTTCGCTAAGGAGGGTAGCACCCAACACCGGCTGAGCCCCAGACTACACGACATCGAGGAGGAAGACGATGAGGAGGGACGCAATACTAAGGAAAGGTCAGTGACTTGCTGTTACTAAATTTAATTTCTTGTCGCGTTTCTTTGATCACACGTGTTCAATAGAATTAGTCTATTCATGCAACTGGCCAAGTGTTTCATAAAAAATATAGACGAATCTGAGTGATAATGAAGAATCTTTCAAACGGGGAATAAGACAAATATTTACAGAAGCATCAAACAATTTTCTGACTGATGTACTATTTATATTCTTGTTAAAGCAAACAGTTTTCGTATTTAAAGGCAGTGTTTCAAAAACACTTCTAGCGAAACTGTAATTCGCCGGGTTTACAACCGTTTTTAATTACTCAGAATTAGCGCGACTGTGGTTCGACTTTTTCTCTCGGTCGTAAAACGATTTTGTACAATTTCAATTTTGGCTCGTTCGCGGAATCAATTTCAGCTTCGGTTCCATTAGGAGTGTTATTAATAAAATGAGACCCGTCCGGCTCGCGAGTTTAGATTAATGGAAAAGCGAGAACCACTCTGTAATTAACGTCATTATCGCTGTTTCAAATAGTAATTTAATGTGGCGCGTTGAATTATATAGATTCGTGGAATTTGCTGGACAATTTTCAAATGATCTTCTATTATCTGTACTTATACTT